TTTATCATGCCATGTTTTGCAATATAACGCTCCATTACGAAATCAGTGGAAAATCCTTTTATCACAGCAATTCTTAAATTATTTCTTATTGAACTATCTTATATCTATTGTACGGGTTGGTGTGTGCCTTTTTCGCCACTTTTGCCTACATTTTATCATATTATTCTACAAAATATCAAATATTTATGTAGAAATATCTGCTCTTATTGTGTCTAATAAAATCCAAACTTAGAAACATTGCCTAAAATGGTACCTATCTTGACAAATAATTTGCACCTGCCTATATTACGGACTTTGGCGCACTGAATTAGTAACATTATTGAAAATAACACGACATTTTGGCTGTAAAATATGGTACAATTAGAGAAAATACTATTTAAGCAGCTACTGTCATGACAGAAAGGTCATATTCCTTTTAAACTAGATCACATAATCCTTTGACTGGGACGGGTGGCGTCGTCCTGTAATCCAGCTACTAGGAGGTCACGAATTGTGGATATTTATAGGAATGCACTGTGGATGCGATACTCCCTGGTGTGGATTAACGTCCGCACGAGTGAGTACTACGACTACCCGCAGTGCTATCCTGATAATTATACCAATTCATAAATACCAATGCAAAAAAAAATTTGGTTCCAATTCAACTATAAACTGTAGATCCCTTGGTTGCCATTCGCTGTATGGGCTATTAATTAACAGCTGTATCTAAGGAATGTCGGCCTTAGTAACTAACAAGACTTCAAGATCGCGCCACTCTTCCTACACTCATCTCCATTCATACTTGGCTTACCTACTATGTATTAAAATGGTGTAAATACCTGCTTCGTGGTAATCCTAATGTTGCTAGTGTCGCAACTAGTTTCGACTTTTTACAAAGTCATCTTCAGGCGAATTCTCAAACACCAAAAAAGAAAAACATCAAAAACAAAAGATAAAAAAACCTATGTTTCAACGGAGTACGGCTCATCTCTAAGTACTAAATTCAAAAATATTATGGCCAAAAACAACGTCACTGTATCGTTTAAAACAGTAAACAAACTTGGGTCTTTATTAAAAGAACGGCCCCAAACGAAAACTCCAATTTTCGATAAGACTGGCGTTTATAAGATAAATTGTGACAACTGCTCTAAATACTATATTGGCCAGACAGCTCGTTCCTTCAAAAAAAGATTCAGAGAACATTTACCAAGAAAAACAACATCCGCTCAAACCTCAACTTTTGCCGAACATTTAGTCTCAGATAACCATAATTATACAAATATCGACAACAACATGACAGTACTGCATCTATCTAACAACCATTTTAATAGAAACACACTAGAAGAATTCGAAATATACCGAGCTGTAAAACTTGACAGACAAAACATCTTAAACGACAAGCTTTCCTTCCAATCAAATTATATTTATGATACGGCTATCAAAGTACTAGAGAAAGAGTCAGGAATGAATGGGATGGGACCTACAACAGCTGACTGATAACAAGACAAAAGGAGTGACGTCATCGCACCGACCGACCACGTTGACCGGTAGTCTAGACCTTGCATCCATCCCGGTCGTGTCACATCATTCCTTTACAGTTACCGTTGTTCGTTTAATCGTGTTAAATGTACCGTTTTTACGTGTTAATGTCCGTGTTCGTGTTCGTGTTTTTATGTACATTTATGTGTAATGACGACCTTCATATGAAGTGACCACCATTTGACATCCTTGACGCCTTCGCCTGAAAATGACTTTGTAAAAAGTCAAAACTAGTTGCGACACTAGCAACATTAGGATTACCACGAAGCAGGTATTTACACCATTTTAATATATTCAACGTAATCCGGAGGCTAAATTCTAAAATGTACCTACTATGAATGGTCGCCATAAAAAAAACGTATTAAAGGATTAAAGTATTTATCATATACGTTGATTAACAATATGTAAACGTCAATATATACGTAACAGCCATTTTACAGTATTTTTGCTTTTTGGAAATGTTCAATTGCTATGTCATTTGTATTATTTATTGCCAATGAAGCCGCCAAGATCATATGAACTATGAGGCCCCTAACAGTTCAAGAATAAAAGCCAACTTTACTTCATGTATTCCACTACACCTAACATTCCGTAGAGAGATTATAGTGACAACTTGGCTGCACTTTACTTGACGTCCTACACTCATTCGATTGTTTTTTCGATTCGATATTTTCATTCGATTGTTTCATTCGATATATAGTTTGGTTAGTTAGGTTAGGTTAACCTTACCTAACTAACCAAACGATATATCGAACGAAGCAATCGATTAATCGATATATCGATCGATATTTTCATTCGAATGAGTGTAGGACGTCAAGTAAAGTGCAGCCGACAACTTTATGTTATTGATAAGGCCGAGACCAGGCACACTTTTATAAACGGGCAGACTGGGCATATGCCCAGGGGCGCCCACTGGGTGCCCCCAAACCACCACCTGCCAGCACTAGGAAAAAAGGGGGGCGCTGCTCTTGGGTTTGCCCAGGGCTCCACTGACCCTTAACGCAGCCCTGGCCGAGACAACTAACTGACATCCCCCATGTCAAGGAATTCCAGCTTTATCAGTAATCCCACAGTCAATTTCTCAAAACTATGCTAGAGGGTTCATTCATTGGCACAGAAGTACGAGATGAACTGACGCGACGTGACGAAGGAAAATCAAACTTACACTGTAACGGATATACCTACCTCCCTTTGAAGTTAGAACGTGTCTTCTCAACAAACATATATTTTTTCTCAAACACTGATGAAATCACGGAAGTGTTTAGCTACAAAAGATCCACCAATACGATTTAAATACTATTTAAAGGTTCTACCAAAGGAAGAGATACCATATAACATACTAATAATAACTCCGATGACGTACAGGATAGGAAATATTTTAATCATTGAATGAACAACCAAATTTGGCAACTAACGCAATATTGTTATTGTTTTTACACTTACTCTTTGAACAATGTTAAATGCTCAAAATATGTATATTACACCCAATTCATCGCAGTTAGATGAATTAACGTAAGCCTTGAAAGTAACCATCGATTTCGACGGGTTTCCCCTAGTATTAATCTAATCCTTCTCTAAAGTCAATCAATACTACACCTGTTCCTCGTGAATGAGATTTAACTACTTGCAGTATTCAAGTAGAGACGGTAAATGTACAAAAAAGATGGTAAGTGGTAACCATTTACCATATTGTTTTGTGTATTTACCGTCTTGTAACAGTATAAGCGTAAATATATGTTTTTAATGTTATAAGACGTTTCTTTTATTTACTTTCCATCTAATTAACGTACATTATAAATAAAACGTTTAATTTTAACTAAATCATAATATACAAAAATAAAGTCAAACACTAAAGTTAGCTAAATAAAGTTAAAGTCAATCACTTTAACAGTCATTCTATAGATTCTGGTGTAAACCATATTAATAGTACTGCAAAGGGCAAACGTATCAAACTGTTACGACTTCCCGAAAGATTAATCAAATTTTAAGTTGATTCTAAAAATATTTTAAGTTTTGGAACGGTCAGAGTGAGGCAGAGAGTCTGTCAACTATCACTAATCGTCTTGTTTTCCGGGTCCGACTCCTATTGTTGGTTCAGCATTGCTCGCTCAAGCACATCACCAGGAATTGATGTGATTTCGTTGTGAATTGCAGCCTTGTGATATGATGTGAAATGGGCCTATTGAGGGCAGCGGTGCCAATCTGTCGTATACTGTTACGACTGATTGGCACCTCTGCGGCCGCCGTCAGCTTGTCACCACGACAGATTGGCACCACTCATTTCTCGAGGTTCCAATCTGTCGTGTACTGTTACGACTGATTGGCACCTCTGCGGCAGCTGTCAGCTTGGCACCACCCCTTTCTCCAGGTTCCAATCTGTCGTGTACTGTTACGACTGATTGGCACCTCTAGGAGCGGTGCCAATCTGTCGCGGTGCCAATTAGACGCGTACCTGCTAAAGTCTGCTTGGCTGCACTTTACTTTACGTCCTACACTCATTCAAAGGAAACTATCGATTGTTCGATCGTTTCATTCGATATATCGTTTGGTTAGGTTAACCTTACCTAAATTAACCAAAATAACTTATCGATATATCGATCGATATTTTCATTCGAATGAGTGTAGGACGTAAAGTGCAGCCGTCTGCTTCAAAATATTCTTTAAGGCTGCTATAATTTCCATAGCCTAGGCCTAACTTAAGTACAGTAGGTAGGCCTATGTAGCTCATAACTCATAACTCATTTAGGTATTGAACCAAAATAACAGATACAAAATTTGCATTGGTCATGTCAAATAATAGAACTAAAATTAAAATAAACAATAGACAATGTTGCTTCAATAAAACAATATCAATTACTTCTTACAACAAAAAAACTAACTAACTAAACCCATCAGCGACACAATCTCAAACACTGTAGTAACCCTTGGCCAAGAGTATTTTTTTGATTTGCTTTTTAAAGCTGTTCAAGTCCGACTCCAGCTGAAGGGAGGGAGGGAGAAGATTAAAAAGTTTAATGCCATTGTAATGAAAGTGTCTCTTGAAAAATGTAGTTGAATGAGATGGTAATTTAAGATGAGAGTTGTTACGTAGTGAATAGGAATGTGTACCTAAGTGAAGTTTGGTATTGGTGTAAGTTTTTTTTTAATGAGAATCAAAGTTTCCAAAATGTATATTGAGGGAAATGTTAAAATTTGTGATGAAATAAAGTATTGCCTGCAAGATGTTCTTCTTTTCAAACCAAAGACTGCCCTAACTGCCCTCTAGCCTAAGTTAACTTTTGTCAAAGCGAAAGCCCCATCAAACTAATTTCCACCTAAGTACTAACTTAGCTTATCTCAGTCAATTAATTTTAGACTCAAGGACTAGCTTAAGTGGCCTCCACTTCATTATAGGCCTACACAAATTCATTTCAACCATGTACGATATAGGCCTAGGCTAGATAGACTAAGTTACTTAGACAAAGAGAGGTTCGGCTACTTACTCCTCATTCTCGTGAACCATTTCTACGATACAAACTTAGATCTCCAAAATAAGGTTTTGGTTCGGAAAACCTTAGTGACCAAACCTTGATGTTTCTAGTGGGCCTAAACTTAACTTAGCCCTAGCCTAGACAGAGCACTGCTAAGTTTCGCGGTATGCGATTCTCAAGGTCTCAAATTGGAACAACGAATGACAAAACTTCAATGGGATGATGACATTAACAATTTTCAATTTAGCTTGGTTGATAAACAGTAAAACAATAACTCTATTCTACAAATCAGAGATCAATAATCGTAGAGCTTAGTTAGTCGAGAGCACGGCTAGGCAATCAAGATGGCGGAAGCATGATATTTTGTTATAAGCTGGAATACCTAATTTAAAGGTGCAATAATTTAATGCATAGAGTGGAAGTTAAATCTGAAGAGGATACAAATTAAGGAAACCGCAAATTAATTTTACATAAAATAAGCTTAAAATACTACAAACTTACTCGTTTTCTCCTGACATGATTTTTTTGGCCGAACGGAAAGACAAACGAAATGAACCGATAAACAACTTATGGAAAAAGCAGTTCAAACAACCGGAAGCATATGTTTTTTCTCAAGAGTAAAGATAACCTTTTTTATATAATACGTTTTTGTATTATAATAGAGTAAGCTAAGCTATAAAACACCCACTAGTTTAAACAACAAATCATTAAAGTTGTTTAAACTCACAATCAAATATAAACACCATACCCGTTCAAATTCATATATAAATATATTTATACATATGTCCGTTAGCGCGATAACTCAAGCAAAAATCATCCGATTTTGATGACGTTTGGTACAAACGTGTAAACCTACGTTTATTCGAACGAGTTCGCGAACCAGCATAATCGGACAATGAAAACAGGGGTTTATGGGGTAAAAATTGGGTTTCCCATGTAGGCATTGGTGGCAACGAGAGTGCAAACAAGCTGGCAAAAAAATGTGCGAGCATGCCACTCTTAGGACCAGAGCCATTTTGTGGCATCAGCAAAGCTGTCGCTAAACATGTAATCAACAAATAATGGTCCAGGGGACAACACCTTGAGCGTTGGCGTAATTATCCTGGACAATCACTTGGCAAAAAACTGCTCTCAGAACCTAGCACCCTCTCTTCACTCGCTGGCTGCTAAAGCTGGAGAGAGGGCAGGTACTTGCTCTTATCACTGGACACGGCCATTTCAGGAAACATCTCCACACTCTAGGAATTGTCAATGACAAGCAAAGGAGTGTCGACTTTGTAACCAGTCCGATGAGACTGCAAAACACATTATTCTGGACTGCGATGGACTACGGGCTAGGAGAAGGGCTCTGGTCTAAAGCAGCCAGGTGATGAACCAGACTCTAACATTGGGCAAAAGCTCCTGCACCTAGTCAAGGTACAGGAGTAAAGTAACACAGGCATAGGCTTACCCAGTTAGTGGCAAGTGGGATGTACAATAAGCTTCGGTTGACGTGCTAGGACCATGAGTCCACCCTCTTACAATCAATCAATCAATGAGAACAGGGGTTTATGGGGTAAAAATTGGGTTTCTCATAAAAAAAAAATAAAAACATAAAATTTAGCAACTTCTTTCTAAAAAATTTTCTAGAACTTAAAAAAGAGAAATAATTTAGAATATTGAAGTGTTATTATGCGCCTATAATGGCTACGGAGAAAATTCAAAACATTGTATATTTAAAATTCCCATGTTATTCTTATGAAGAAAATTGTAAACTGTAGTAGTTTGCTTGTTTATGAGCATAATTTTGATCAATTGGGAAAATGCATTCATTTCAATACTGAACTATTAACATTTTACAAAAAATGCCTTTTTACCCTCCCTGTTGCAGCAAACTTAAGTACTCGTTAAACTAATGCCATTTAAATAAGGAATAAAAATGTGATATTTTTAAAATTCATGCGATTGTAAATATTGATTTATAAGTCTCTGATATCATATAAGTATAATGTAAGCCATTTTGTAAATCCCTGTATATATTTGTAGACCTATGAAAGGCATGTTTAAAAAACAATATGACTTAGCTAATGCAACTTGTTTTGTTGAAATTCTGGCTATATAATTGATTTGATTTGATTTAAGGAGACATTTTAGAGTAAATCCAATCAGGCGAATGGAAATTCGCTTAGTCTGCAGGTTTGCTGTGGTGGGGGTATAACTATGCATTGTATTTAACTAAAGTATAGCACAGAGCTAGGTAGTTTCACATATTATAGGGAATCCAAATCCGCTAAAAGGCTTTAGATTTTTAATGGGGATGTTTTGTTTAAGTATTCAGTATTCAAATTAGTCATTGGCTATAGCCATAGATAAAACATAGCCTACACTGGAGGCAGATGACAAAGATAATGTAGCGTGGTGCATATCCGTCAGGTGATTTTACAAACATTCTTTACATACAATCAATATAGCATACTTTTATTGATTATACAACTCCGTCGATAGAGGGTATTGTATAATCAAAGCTACAGTCCAATGATATCAATCATAGATAAAAAACCATGTTGGTTAGAAAAGAATACATTAGAATTTGATGTACCGATGTACCACAACTAAAATTTTAAAAGTGGAAAAATTACAATGATATGTATTAGCAATAAATAGTACACACATTAATGATAAAATACAAATATATAACTTTATATAATATTTGCCTTTCATAAGTAAGTTCACCAGTTGTTTTACCACTACTCTTTGAGAGACGAGAATACATTTACAATTTAACAGCTGAGTTTTGGCGCGTCGTCTGCGTTTGTCTGGATGTCTGCAAAACAATTGTTTTCTTGTCAGTTTAGTGGTGAAGATTTTAGTAAACACATAGATGGATTGATCATTCTAACTAATAATTTAGGCCCAGTGTAATAATTAGCACTAAAATAGCTATAAATTTTGGTAAATCCAGGATTCAACCGTTTGTATAAGTATATCTAAAGAGGGAAGAGTTTGTAAACTGTATAAATATTATACTATGCATGCATGAGGTTGGTTGGTGATCAATATGAATAACAGGACATAAAAGCTTATGAAATGTGAAATTGTACTAGTTCATGGACAGTTCAACTACTTACTGATGTTAGAAGCAAACCTTTGAGTTCAATGGGTGAGTATATAATAGTTCAAGTTGGACAGTGCGGAAATCAAATTGGAAGTGTTTTTTGGCCTTCTGTTTTAGAAGAGTATGGAATTCTTCAGAAATCATCAGTGTTAGATATTGGACAGTCTAGAAAACTCGATAAATCATTTAAAAGTTTTTTTAATTGCCCTCAAGGATTGCCTCCAAAATGTACTACATTCATGGATTTAAAACAATCAAAAATTACTGCAAGAACCCTGTTTATAGACATGGAAGAGAAAGTAGTTGAGAGATTTCAACATGGATCAATGCATTACTTGTTTGATAAGAAATATCATCTTACTGATAATCCTGGATCTGGAAATAATTGGGCTGTCGGACACTACAGTCATTTCAAATGCTATAAAGACACTTTGGCTGACATGTTTCACAGTATAACTGAACAATGTGATTCTTTAGCCGGCTTCTTTTTCATGCTTTCTTTAGGAGGTGGAACAGGATCCGGTCTGGGAACAGCAATAGTATGCCTTCTTGAAGATCAGTTTCCCCGTATTGACAGGGTTGTTACTTGTGTTCATCCAGGTCAGTACAACGACGTTGTTACAAGCCCCTATAACATTGGCCACTCCCTTCGGATATTATCTGAGCACGCTTCGATTGTACTCCCAATAGACAATAAAGCACTTATAGATATTTGCAATAGACATAGTTTTAATCGAGGAGTGAAGCCTTTTGAGGATGCAAATAAAATCATTGTTAACATGCTTCTAAATCTAACTAGCGGTTCGAGATTTTCGGGCTCTTTGAACTGTGATATAAGTGACCTTAGTTCGTTAGTGCCACAGCCAGGATTACATTACTTCAGTTCTAGTCTTAGTCCTCTTCAACTATATCCATCTCGGGACCTAGCCTTCCAAAATAAAAAGTGTGATCTTATTCAAGAAATTTGTTCCAGAGAAGATCAGTTGATGAGAGTGAATGCACTCGGAGGAAAAATATTTAGTGCCGCCCTCCTTTGTCGAGGGGATGTTTCTCTCCCTGTGCTGAGGGATTACGTGAAAAAGTTCAGCTCAAAAGTAGAATTTGCTGGTTGGAGCCTATCAGGGATTAAAACCGGTCTTTGTTCCATTCCTCCCGTGAGTCAAAAAAGAGGTATTTTATGTTTGGCCAACTCATCTAACATGACCCGACTTTTCTCCGATTCTCTTAAACATTTCAATCTTCTTTATAGAAGGAGAGCTCATGTTCACCACTACTTGGATGTTGATGGATTTGAGCTAAATGATTTTCTGTTGACAGAAGAAAGTTTAGCCTCATCTGCTTTGAAATATGCTGATGCTGCAAATTGTATTGAAGTTCCTAGGCTCCAGGTTAGTTGAATGTTCCGTAACTAGTACGGTAACTGGTGGATTGCCAATAAGAACTGTAAATATTGTATCCTAACTTATTCTTGTTAAAATATTTATTTTAGTAAATTTTTATAAAATAAGTATTGCTTTCATGTGAAATGTACCTTTCTCCAAGCCTAAAGTAAAATAACAAATCAAAGCTCGCCTCTAGAATTTCTTTTACATTTCTTATCGGGCATTAGAAACAATATATATTTTCTAAGTACCGTACCGTAAATATATGCATGATTCGTCTCAGTTAAAGAACAATTCTAATAAAACCCTCATTAGCCTACATATACCGTACAGTTATGGACACTTATTTGATGTTAAGAGAATTTTTGGACTCAATAAAACTAAAAATGGTTTTAAATACCTGTTAACTTACTTGTCTAAGATTTTTAGAGGGATAAATCTCTAAAAAATCAAGTTAAATTGAAAAAACTTGTTACTGAAGTTGTTTTAAAAACTACCTGCTAAATATTTTGAATGGTAAGTATGTATTATTTATCTCAGTAAATTTAGATTTTAGGGAATTTTACCGAATTTCCAACAGGTCTATTGGGAATAAGCTATTACCGTGAGTCTTGGTAAGACCGACCCAAGACCATTACTTTATTTTTCTTTATTTTCCCCACAGCATACATATTTTAAGCCGCAGCAAACCTGCAGACTAAGCAAATGTCCATTTGCCTGATTGGATTTACACTGAAATGTCTCCTTAAAAATATCACATTTATTCCCTATTTAAATAGAATTAGTTTAACGAGTAGGTACATAGGTTTGCTGCAACAGGGAGGGTAAAAAAGTGATTTTTGTTGTAAAATGTTAATAGTTTAGTAAGAAATTAATGTATTTTCCAAATTTGATCAAAATATGTTTATAAACAAGCAAACTACAACAGTTGACTTATTCTCCATAAGAATAACATGGGAATTTTAAATTTACATTTTTTGTAATTTTCTCCGCAACCATTAGGCGCAAAATCACGCTTCAATAGGCCTATACTAAATGATTTTTTTTTTAAGTTTTACAAAATGGTTTGGAAAGAAATTGTGAAATTTTGTGTTTTTATTGTAAAAAATAGAAAAACCCCATTTTTACCCCATAAATCCCCCGAACGAAAAAGTAAATTGGTCTCGGGTCCAGGTCTTACCATGAGTACTACCACTACGGTAATAGCTTATTCCCTATATGGGAAATTCGGTAAAAGAAACAAATCTGACATGTTTAAAGGAATATTTTAGTGAAAATCAAATCAGGCAAATGGAAATGAGCTCAGTCTGCAAGAGTTGTTGCGGCGGGGTATAATTTTGTTTCTATTAATTGTTGACGACAATGGAATATGGTGTGCCGTCTAAAGATTTTACTCTAAACTTAGAAAAAATGTTTCATTACATCTTGGAAAGCTTTTGTGTCATACTTTAATCTAATCTTAAATTTATTTTGCTTTTGTAGTGTGATACGGTACATTTTGTACAAAAATACCTGTTTGCTTTTATACATGCATTGGTTTGTAATAATTTGTTCAAAGAAAAACTTTACTAATAGATAATACAGTACTGTATACAGTAATTAACCCCCTAGAATGCCTTTTAAGTCAGTAAATTATCATAAGGGTATGCTCTAATCCTTAGGCATCTAGATATCCACTCCACAGAGAAATATTGAGGGTGTATGACACAATGTTTCATTTTGCCATGTGAGCTATGGTGTTTTGTTATGGGGACACACACCCACGACCGAAGACATTGATCCTGCAAGAGCTCTGAAAACAATCACCTTCAACGATTGTCTTGCTCACTCCAAGCCTATCTTCGCTAGGCTGGGCATACTTACAGTATGATTTAGTCACTATATCATCGCCTGCATAAAATATACCCGTCGCAGCAATGCTGCCGACTAAGTGAATTTCCATTTGCCTGAATTGATATAGCCTACAATTAAATCTATTTAAATAACATTAGGTTAAACGAGTACCGAGAATTTCTACTTCAGGGAGGCTAACAAAGTGTGTTCTTTTGTTTTTGTAAAATATTAATAGCTTAGTATAAAATAAATAAATTTAACAAGTGTTGTATCAAAATGTATTCATAAACAAGCAACCTACAACATTTTACAATATTCTCCATAAGAATAACATGGGATTTTCAATTTTAAATTTTTTTTTGAATTTTCTCCGTAATCAATAACTGCACAACACTTCAATATACTAAATTATTTGTCTCATTTACCTCTTTAAAATGTTCTAGAGAGAAATTGGGAAATTTTGTGTTTTGATGGCCAAAAGTGAAAAAAAATTACCCCATAAAACCCCCTGTAAAACCCGGTTCCCATCGTCGGATCATGCTGGTTCACGAATTCATTAAAGTTTATTCTGCTTTACACCTTCAAACCAAATTTCATCAAAATTAAACAACAATTACTCAAGTTATCGCGTTCACGGACATACACACACACACACACATACATATTTTTATATTTTTCTTTTATAGTTTTGTTGACTTTTTAGGGTTACTTTTTCAATAATAAGTGAAATAATAAAAATACCCCGCCACACCAAACCTGCAGACTAAGCGAATTTCCATCTATGTAGATGGAAATGTACACGGCTGGAATTCCACTAAATTATTCCCTTAAAATTGTCAGATTTATTTCCTATTTAAATATCATTAATATTAATGAGTACTTAGGTTTGCTGCTACAGGGAAGATGATAGGGGGATTTTATTGAAATATTAATAGCTTAGTATGAAGTAAACAAAATTTCATTAAAATATGTCTATAGACAAGCGAGCTACAAAAGTGTATTTATCCTCCCTAAGAATAACATGGTAATTTTAAATTTACACTGTTTTGTGATTTTTTCCGTAACCGTTAGGCATGCAACAATGCTTCAATATACTAAATTATTTGTTTTTTGAGCTCTACAAAATGGTTTGGAAAGAAACTGCAAAATTTTATGTTTTCAGGGTGAAAAATGAGAAAAACCCATTTTTACCCCATAAAACCCCCCAAAAACCCCTGATCCCATAGTCCGATCATGCTGGTTTGCGAACTCATTTGAATAAATGTAGGTTTACACGCTTATACCAAATTTCATTAAAATCGGATCATTTTTGCTCGAGTTATAGCGCTAATACATATAAATATACATATAAATATAGATATTATGAATTTGAACGGATGGTGTTTTTGGCCTCTGGGGACCTCAATACGAAAAAGTAAATTGGTCCCGAGTCCAGGTCTTACCATGAGACCTACGGTAATAGCTTATTCCCTATATGGGAAATTCGCTAATTCCCAATATGGGAAATTCGCTAATATTCCCTGTATGGGAAATTCACTAATTCCCAATATGGGAAATTCGCTAAAAAGGAATTTCAGGGTTCTTTGGGTTTTTATTTCCTAATATAATATATCTATTTACTAGCAGTTTCCCAGTGCACACCTAACTAACTATTATTTTAAATGGTAACTTGTTCTTTACGATAAATAATATAATTTATGCCAAAAACAAACATATAACATATATTTTGATTAATTGCTGGTTGTTAAATAAGTTTTTTTCTTTTTTAATTATGTGTATAAATATATAAGTTTTTAGGCGTACCTACCACCACATGAGCACAAAACATACAGCTGTCCGTGTGAAAAGCACCCGTTTTCTAAATTTAAACCAGTGATTTTCAGGGATTGCCCTTGTGCCTTATAATGGTGATTGCGAAAGTAAGTCACAAAGGAAATTGTAGTCGCTTGAATTCAAAGAGTAATTCGGATGAAATCATCGGTATTCTTTTGGGATTAAGACTATATTCCTCCTTTAAACTTATCACTAGTGATTGTTGCTGCGATCAAGTTTTTGGTGTCATTTTTTTAATCGTCAGTCTGGTTCCGTTGCACATCTTGGGTGGATTTAAGTTTTGCATTAGTATTATTGGAGTTCCTTTTTTTAAATTACAGTAATGTAGTGTTGTTAAAGACAAATTGGGAGGCATTGGGATACCTGGGATAGCTTGCACGATTATTATTCGCTTAATAATTTATGTTAGATTGTGTGGGTATAGCACAAAAGATAAAAATATTGGCATTGCCATCCCTTTTATTGTTTATAATACTTTATTTGATAAAGGTTTTTTACTTTTTATATTTACATATTTAATAGTGGAGAATTTAAACGTAGTTGAGTGCACAGGTGTGCACCAATTGGGGTTTAATAAATTTGAACTTATCCAAAAGTTAAATATTTCCTGTGAATTCTGTGCTGCATTGTAGAAACACTATGTACTATTTACTAGATGTCCCTAGACCCAAGAACTGGCTGCCAAGGACAATTAAAGACTCAGAAGGCCTGCCTGGGCAGGGTGTCCCAAACCGACCCGAGCCAACTGTGGTAGCCCGTTGGGCCCGAATCACGCCCGTAGACCGGTGTGTACGGGCTACCGCAAAGGCCTAGTGTCCCACCCGCCACGGCCGGGTGTCGGAGCTACGCCCGGGTACTTATTCTAAGCCCGTCCCACCCGGGTGCCTTAAACCACCCTGGGTCAATTGCATCCACCCTCCACGACGCCCGGGTCATGCCCGTAGACCGGTGTGCACGGGCTACCGCAATGGCTCGGGCCATGTACCCCACCCGCCCCGGCCGGGTGCCGGAGCTACGCCCGGGTACTTATTCTAAGCCCGTCCCATGTACCCTACCCACTCTCTATAGATGCCTCCGGGGAGAAATCAACCCCGTCATCTCTCGTATACCTTATTTGAATATTACTCCATTGACAGTTAACTCATCCCCATTTTATAAACGAACTCATTATAAGCACACCCCTACAGCCAATTTGACTTTGCTGTAAGTTTCCTTGGGCGTGGTACTCGAGTCATTCTTATAAGTATCTAGGCTAGCTCACGGCTACGCTGGCATTTTCGTTACATATCTCGTACCCACCTTATTTGAATATTACTCCAGTGACAGTTAAATCATCCCCATTTTATAAATGAGCTCATTATAATCATACCCCTACCGCCAATTTAACTTTGCTGTAAGTTTCCTGGGGCGTGGTACTCGAGTCATTCTTATAAGTATCTAGGCTAGCAGTA